CAGGATTAAAGATGCTTAGTTCATTTAAAAACAAGCATAGTGATTCATGTAGAAAGTTAAAATTTAATTGTTCTGGGTGATTTATTCATTCATTTCACATATGACTTGACTAGCAGAGTGACTGGGAGAGTCTTACCCCATAGTAGTTGTGAAGTCAATTATTATTTAAAGTTATTCATTGTATCACTATAAATATACTCAGGAAATATTGTTAAACACTATGGGGATAATGACTATTCTCTCTCTCTCTCTCGTGTGTGTGTGTGAGTATGAGTGTGTTTTAGGCAGATTTATGATAGGGTCTCATGTAGCTGAGGCTTTCCTCAAACTCACTTTGTAGCCATGAAGATATTGAATTCTTGGTTCCCAGTGCCCCCACTCCCTACTTGTTGGGATCGTGGACATTGACTGCAGCACTCAACTGGAACTCACGATTTCTGCTGGGTGTTGGTAAGGCATGAGGCAATGCTCATTAGAAAAGATACATCCTGACTGTTTGGGTTTAAATGGCTATTCTATGTCCATGGTTATGAAAATAGTTTCCAAACATGCATGACGTTTTAAACATGGAAAAGGTAAATACATATATCTACATCCAACATGCACTTGCATTTTCAAGTTTGGTCCTTTAATTATATACAAGTAAACTACTTGGAGCTGAACAATTAAAATGTGGAGCCCAGGAGTCTTCATTCTCAAAGCTCCAGGGCTGAGTCATGTGAAAATACCATTTGGCATCTGTTACTTCAAGTACTGGATACTTACTTAGCTACTGCCATGAGATAGTTAATTCCCAGATTCAGGCTGGCTTGGGAACCTCTTAGTTGTGTATCCCATTACTGCCTATCCTCAAGGAAACAGGTTTTCTAAGCTGGACCCCACACTGGAGTAAGAATCTAAATTTAAGTACTAGAAGGACGCTGATTTTAGCAATACTGTTCTTAAAATTCTGGAGACTGGAGAGACGACTCAGGGGACCGAGAGCTTCTTTGCAAGCATAAGGTTCCATCTGGAGTGATGCACACTTACAATCTCAACCCCAAGTTTGCAGAGATAGGAGGGTACAAAAGGGTAGATCTCTAGCCTATGTGAGCAGCAGACACATGCGCACATACATTGTCCTGTAAACACATGCATACATATGCATGCACGCACGCGCACACACACACACACACACACACACACAGTACTTACAAAATAACTATCATTCTGCTCATATTTCTAACAGAAAACGCCTTCCTACCCATCCACAGTGTTTTCTGCCTGCCAGGATTTGGCACAGCTCTGCTTAAGTGGTCAGTTTTGGGAGTGACCATTTATTCCCGGCATAAATACAATGACTTTTCCCTAAGTTCCCGGCATTAGTGCCATTGGCTCCCTGGTGCTCAATCTACTTCAAAAATAAATATACGTGTGCAGCAGCCTCTACTATGTATGAATGTCATGGACCAGCAAATGTCAGTGAAGAGCATGCATCATAACATTTGCTTACGTTCGAGTGTTTTGTGATTCCACCATCTATCATCTCGTTCAGCTGCTGAAAATCCTCACTGGCAAGAGAAGCTTCCACTCTGGTGTGAAACCGACATGCCTTTCTTTTCCATTCTACAGAGCCTGACACTTGTCAGCCTGGTGGGTTTCTACAGTGCCCTTCCTCCTCCTCCAAAAAGGCACTGCTGAGAAAGTGCTTCCCTCTGAATGTCTGGACTTCCCATGGCAAACTGCAAGGTGTGTGAGAGAGGTAAAATTCCGTTCCGTTTACAGGAAGCCACTGCAGAAGGCAGTCATCTGCTGGGCCCCGAAGAGCTGCTTCCCCTGGCAGTGCTCATGCACTGCGTGGCTTTAAGAGGAAATGGTGTAGTTGTTGTGGTCTTTCTGCCTCTCAATGGCTCCCATGTCATATCACATCCTCTTGGGATTTCTTTTCTCCTAGTGGTTTAAGTTTATTTCACCCAGATTTCAAAGTTGTTACCCGGATCTTTTGGCACATGTAAAATATGTCACCATGTCAGCTTAGAGCACTTATATTGCAAATGTCATGTAGATGTCACAGTAGAACCTGGGCTTGGGGTTTGCTGAAAATTAATGCAGGAGTTACTAAGAAAATCATGTTTAACCCTATAAAGTATAAGATGTTGTAGTAGCATTTATTTCTCACATGAAGCAATGGACTTTTCGTGTTTACAAGGCTTTATCCAAACGAAATTGTAATGGCTGAGGAGGTGGCTCAGTCAGTGGTTAAGGGCACTTTCTGCTCGTGCAGAAGTCCCCAGTTCAGTCCCCGTCACCTGTATTAGTTGGCTCATACGCCTGTTACTCCAGTTCTAGGGAAACCACTGTTCTCTTCTGACTTCTGTAGACACCTGAACACATCTGGCATCCCCCAAATACACACACATGCACACATCCTTCAAAATATACTCTTAGGAAAGCTTGATCATTCGAATTTAGTAATTGTTTTTGTTGTGTTCTAGTAAACGTGAAAAAAAATGTCCCTAACTTACAGAGGAGACAGCCTGCTTTTCATATCTTTAGTAAGACTAGGTCAGAATACAAATTTCACTCATAATTGCTAAGTTGTCTGAAGTAAGAATGATATAAATGAATTAAGAATTTAAAATTCCCTGTGAAGTATGCAAACTGCTTGGTATTAAGCAAGGTTATAATCTGAATTTCAGGTACTCACTGAGGACAGAGGGACATACCATAACATTTATTCAAATCCCCATTTAGAGCATTATTTTTTCCAACTTGTTACTAATACTATTTGCTACAGATATGTTTATTTTAAAATACATATTTGAATCATTACAAGTATTTGGTGTAAGAAATAGGATTTGATATGCTTGTTAAAAGAAAGGTATTTTCTTCTTACTTTTGGGTGTTGTTAAATCTGTCTAGTTTACTAAGAAATTTGGGGGTTATTTCTTGCATCTGTTTGGTCTGTACTGATGCATTTCTATTCCATCTCTCTCCTCAGTCCTTTTCACTCAAGTCTAGCATTGCTTAGCCTCACCTGCCTGTCATATGAAAACAGGACCTCTTTCCCAGAGTCCTGTGAGGCACTGTCATGTGTCTCTTCTGGGTGTGTGGCAAACACTAACACCATCTTGCTTCAGAAATCCCAGAAAGGAAGACAAGAAGAAAGAAAACACAGTGATGTGCTTGTGTACAATGTAAAGGTGCACAGAGGTTCTCAACCCACAGAGTTACACTTGGGATCCACAGGCTCTGTGTTAGAACGCCTACAAAATACTGATTATTCAATGCACTTCCCAAGTGACAGTGTTCTGATTCGAGTGTTCTCTTGGTCTGAACTTTGGCATAAGACCTTTCAGGATTAAGCGACTCAGCCTTGCCTCATGCTATTCTCATAGTCTTGGCATCCATCAATGACTTTTGTACATAAAGAATGAAAAAGTAATAAAAAATGTAAAGTACGAATGCTGTTTAGAGATAGACATATGATGGTTTTAAGTCTGGAAAGTCTTGCTACTCTTTTCATTTACATGATTTACATTGGTGTCCCTGTACATCACTCTATTTTGCTGCATATTAGGTTTAAGTTGAATTATCTTGCTTTCTGACCATTAAATTATAAATGAAACAGAATTGGAAAGGAAATAATTTCAAAGGAAACAAAAAGGATAAAAATTAGTATTTTGCAGGCCATATATTTTTTACTCATTTTAACTAAATTATTTATCCATTAAAATACATAAAACCATTTGAAAACTTCTTGTTTCCTTAGTCCCTGTTCCATCCTCTACTTTCATGTTATGATCTATTTCATTTATCCACTTATTAGTTGTTATGTATTTAGTTCAAATCTGTATTTTGGTCATTGAAAATAATGCTGGTTCAGGTCACATGGTAAAACTCTGGGCATTATTCTGAAGAACATTAGGCTGCTTTCCCTAGTGAGTGCGCATTTTGCTTCCCACAGAGAAGTCTGTGGGGGCTTCTGTTTTTTATTCACCATCTCTTTCTGTGGACTGTGTTTTCCTTGCAGTCCTCCTGGGGCTGTGCAGGCACAGCTCACTCTGAACTTAATCTGAAGGTTCCTGATAGCATGCCCAGTCAGTCCTGCTATATAGCACAGCCTGGCTTCCAAGTCGCTACATGGCTCTAACTGGCTGGACTCAAACTGGTCAAACTCTAAGATTACAAGCTATTTTCACATCATTTTTTGAAAAGCTCTGTTTCAAGGTTTTCTGAACATAAAGCAATGACTATATCTTACATCTTGTCTTGAATTTACAATGCAGTGAATTACAATGTAATTTATAAACTGTTCTGCAACTGGTTTACTGACTTAACCTTTATGTTCTCAATTATTCAAAATAATATGCATTCATTACAAAATCACTGTGTCGGTTTCATATGACATATTTCCTTTATCCTAAGTCATTTGTTGATATGACAGTGACAACTCAAAAGTGTGGATAATGACAAGCCACTTTAACATAGAGCTATTGGCAAAAAGTAGGACTTCACCCAGCCTAGTGTAAGTCACACATCAAAACTTGGGACATAGATAATATGCATATTTTAAGAATACAAACAAAATGTATTTGAAGCTACAAGTTTGTAGAAATGAGACAGAATCAGAGAAACACCATGACTTCTTTTTGGGTCTTCACGCAACTAGCTTTTGCAGCACTGTCTTCTATGGGCTTTGGGATTAACGTACCTTATTTAGACTTTTTAAAATGCTTCACCTCTTTGAAGCTTGAATAGAACTCCCATTCTTCAATTCCTTTTGACATTGTCAAAATTAAAACTAAAGCAAGTCCTTCTTTTCTTTAAAGGGACCATTACACAGCACTCAGTTGACATTCAGGATGGACACCACTCAAGGTCCTATCTACCTTGGCTGTCTCTTAACTGCTAACTCAGAACAGCCTGGAAAATACAGAACTGAAGACTCTGGGAGCCTGTCTCAAACTAATCTCTAGCATGAGAGTCATCCATTACCTCCCATGAATGAAGCAACTCACCAGGTCACAGAGGAGGTCGCCATTTCTAGTTCCCGTGTGGTTACAGTCACAGGGCTTGCAGACATCGGGGGCAGAAGGATCAGCACCAATGGGTCAGTAAGAGCCATCCTGGCACGACTCACAGTTTCTCCCTGTGTAGGGATAGGTTATGCATTGTGACTCATAATTCATTACAATCGGCTGCATAATTCAAGATTAAAGGCTGTGTTCCTTTGAGGAAATTCTATAATTTCTGGGACGTCCATTTGAAGGCACCTTTCATCTCTACCTGCCAGTTTGGTGATCTGGAGCATATGAAGCAGTGAACCTGTTCCAAATGGTGTTTTACTTCATTAAACGTCCATCTGGCATGCGACACCACACTTCTGAGAAGTTTTGCTTCATAAGAGAGCATATATTTCAAAAAGAATCCATTTCTAAACTTAAAATTGCATTCCTATGGCCAGGAACTTACTTCTAAAGCAAAATGTGAGGAATTGCTACACACATGGCAGTGACATCTACATAAGTGGAAGGAAGCATCTGTGCTGTATTACAAATGCTTATCGAGAGTCATGGAACTAGTGGAGTTGGTAAGGTCATTGCTGTGCATGCAGGAGGACTTGAATCTCATACCCAGCATTCAGGAAACCAGCAGGCACATGGGGTAGCACATATCAATTACCCAGTGACTATGGGAGAGATAAGGCGGAGGGTGGCAGAGGAGGATAGTTGATGTAACCTCTGGCCTCCACATATATGCATGTGATTAGCACACATATACACATGGTCAACACACATATACATGTGATTACACAGATGCACACTAAATTATAAAGATTTTTCAGAAGTAAACTGCAACAAATTGGAGAGTGCTTTTAATATGATGTATTGTTGCACAGTTAACAAATTTTAATGTTCCTGCTAGTTACCTTTTACTTCAAATATCAGAAAAAGGGAATTAACTATATTTATGCATGCCAGATATTTTTTCATTAAGTACTAGAAGAGCCTGATATATCTAGTGTGCAACGTAGTTACTATGCCTTTCCGTTTATTAAGTAGCCTTTCTGCTTGCCATTTTATGAATAAGAATCTATGCTATGAGTAATTTACAGAGTCCATGTGGGTAGTCCCAAAACCATGGGAAGAGGCTGAGGCAAGCCATCACGTTATCAGTTTTCCCATTAAAAAGCTATGCACACTGTTCATATGTTGCTGAAAATGGCCCCATTATCAGAAAACTAGATAATCAACTATTTTTTTCATTCTGATGGATCTTAGCTTCTAATTAATTAAAAATTAAATAAATTTATAATGTTCCTAGAATATTGACATTCATATGTGCTGATGACTCCTCAATATGTATGTCTACTCTGGAAGCTGCTTGTACTGTCATCACAGGAATACTCACATACATAGCACCCATGCCTGGTCGGGTTCTCATGCTATTTTATGCTGTCAATGACTATGCAATTCATTCACTCATGACCCAGGATAACACTTTAGGGTTCATTACATTGGCATTATACTACACAAATACTGAGGCTGCCTGCTTCTGCTTCCAGGTCAATACTGCATTTCAGAAAACAGTGATTTTAATAACTGCTAGAAATTACTTGCTATCATAGAACCTACAGAGAATGCGTGTGTGGGGGGGGACATTGTGCACCATTGTGTGCCTCTGGAGTTCAGAGGACAGCATGCAGAAGTCATTCCCACCTTCCACTGTGTAGGTTGGAAAATCCAACTCAGGTTTTCCGGCTCTCCAGTGAGCTCCTTTTCCTATGAGCCTTCTTGTTTTTCCATATATTGATAATGTGTTAAAAAGATTATTGGTTTCTGTGTAAAGACTGAGTAAATGTAACATGCACATGTGTGAAACCAGACACAAGGAAGACAGGAATGTAAGTGACACAGTAACATTCTGTAAGGATGTATTCAAACTGAGGTAGGCTAAGCTCTCAGAGTTAGTAGTTTGGTCGCTGGTATGAAACTCTTCAGAGGAACACCTTCCTGCAAACATGCGGTGAAGGACTATTTCTGAATGGAGGTTTGACGAAACAGCTTTTGTTTTCAAACCTAACAACCTGAAGACTCATTCCCAAATAGAATAACTGCATCATAATTTAAAATATCATGCATCTAGAGACATACTCGTGGCTCGACAGGCTGAGCCAGTCATTCAAGATTTGGGATTTCCTGTTGTGTGGTGCTGGCCCCTGTCACACACAGACTCCTCCTCTGCCCCTGCTGTGCTTCAGAGGAAATGGGTCCACAGAATCATCATAGTTGCAGCTCCTGGCATGGTTGTTGCACTGACAGGGTTTACAGCTGAATGCATGAACGCCATCACCACTGTGGACAGGCTTGTCATCATAAAGTGGCAGACAGCGATCACTCTGGAATGATAAAATATCAAAAGAAACACAACGCTGTATTGTTTTCATCCGTGTACCCATCACTGCCAGCAAATGTAAAATCAAAACTGATAAGTCAAGAATCTCTGACTGCTTTGCCTTTAAGACTGTTTTATAAATCAGAAAAGGGTATGATTAGGATTTTACTACAACCTTTAAAATTGTGCTAAAATATTAAAATAGTAACGTATCCCCCTATAGTTTCAAATTTCACGATGAATTAGGAAATGAATTGATCCCACTCTTCGTAAAGAATCTCATAGACAACACTTTGAAGAGTGTTTGATGGTCTTTATCTCATCCCATGCTTTGGTATGCCAGAGACAAGCTTCCTTCGATTTGCAGTGCCAGATCACATGCTCATTCACTTTTTTCTATTTTTTTTTAATTTAGGTTAGAAACAAGCTTGCTTCACATGTCAATCCCAGCTCCCTCTCCCTCCCCTCCTCTCCCGCCCTCCCCTTCCCCCTCAGGCACCCCTGTCCCCCACCCAATCTCCACTCTGATCCCCAGGGAGGGTAAGGCCCTCCATGGGGGGTGTCCATAGACTGTCATTTCATCCAGGGCAGGATAGAGTAGCTGGCCTCTTAACTTCTCCCGCTGTTCTCTAGAGATGGCCATGTTATTCCCCGTCCTCTGGTGACACCTAGGTCACATTCCTGTCCTTCTACATTGCCGCCTTGGCTCCCTTACAGCCCTCTCCCAAGAGATGCTAGATACCTATGTTTTTTATATACTGCCTACCCTGTCTACATCATAGGAGCAGAGAGGTGGCTGCTAAGGTGATAATTGAAAATTTAAGAGGAAGAATAAGAGAAAGGAGGAAGAGGAGAAGGAAGGGGAAAGACAGGACCAGGAGGAAGGGATGAAAGGAAGAAGGAGAAGGTGAGGTGAGAAAGGAGAAAACATAACAGAGACTTTGGCCTCAAGTCTGGATGACTGCAACAGAATACATAACCCAATGCAATGTGAAATATTGCCATTAACCCTTAGGGATTCTGCAGCCTCCAAGGTACTGACCCATGATTTACTCAGACGACGTAGTCTACAGAATAGAGCAGAAAGTAAAATATGAGGGAACATGATTTCTGGGTTATTTTATAATGTTTATCTAAAGCAAAAGAAAATGTATAGACCTCTACTTCTAGGAGCCATCAGAGGCCAATGGGATGCAACTGTCTCTAGGGTCTGTAGGTCTAGCAGAGATATGCTCTACTTAGATAAAATTAAGAAAAACTCAACCTCTGATTCCAGGTATCTGAATGAAAAAAAATGAACTCCCAGAGTTGCCTTGCCCAAGTCCAGCACCCATACGAACATGCTCATGCCAGCCATGCTCATGTCTATACTTGTAAACCCCTGTTGCATTGTAAAGATTTAAAGAAAGGCAAAACTTTACCACATGAAAAAAATCTCAAGCTTATTTTCTATTAAAATTTGTTTTTCTTTATTGCTATTTTGGTTTGCTTTACTTCAAAAAATCTTATTAAAAGAGTATTCTCACCCCAAGGTGATGTTTCAAATTGTACTTTCTTGATAAGAGTTGGTGGAGGACAGTAAGATGCAGGCATGTGACCTTGTCACACTGATCACATGTGCAGTTCGTGTTCCATAAAGTCGCTGCAGGCTGGGTTTGAGGAGGTGCAAGCAGATCCAGCAAAAGAAGGCCTCTGATGTCCATGGAAACAAAATTGTTTTCCTTTTGCTTTTGATCTAGATGTTTTTATTTTCTCATTTGAAATTTTTTGTCCTTATTTTCAACCTGCAAACCATGATCACAAAGCCTTGTGATAAGACAGAATTAAATGCTATATCAATCTCCAAAAACACAATCCTGGCTTCCTTGATGTTTTCAATTAAAGAGGAGTTTTGCTACAGAATTGTGGGATGGTTTTGATCCTGGTCACTACTTGTTATTGAAACAACTAGGCTTCCTTTGGCATACAGCTTGGAAACACAGTTTATCAGGGTAACATTATGTTTCCTGATGAACAAAAACAGTTGTCAACTTGGGCATTTTAACACTGTAAATACCATAGTCATAGGAATTCATCAAGATAATTAATTAGTACAAATCTGCTTCTAGGATGGCTATTTAATTTCGTATCAGAGCAACACATGAGCCTGTTTCTGCACACAGAAACTTCTCTGTTGAATTGCTTCAAATTCATAGGAAAGGCCTGATGTCTTGGGGTGTGTTTACTATACCAAAAATAATGAAACGGTTTCAGTGCCCAAAAGCAGACTTCTCAACTTAAACATAATGCAAACACAAACACATATATGAATTCATAATAAAATTTAGATTTTAAAATCAGGTAAGATGAAAAAAATAATCTTATTTCCTGGATAAGGGGGGTTTCATTTCTGCACACAGCCAACTTTAAGAAGACACAGAGAGACATTACCGATTTACCCACAGTACAAATAATACCAAGTCTAAAAGTAGTTCTTCACATTATTTGCTGGGATTATCTATGCGTGGCAGGAAAAAGTGGCTTCTATATCTTTTGAGTAGTTTTTTTCACAGTGTATATCAATTGTATTATATAAAAATTGTTTTAATAGGTGATCTTTTCTTGGAGAAAGATAGTAAATTTTCTTTAAGGGTGAGGGCAGGGGGACCACGCTCCAGTGGATCCCAGAGGATGTGCTGAACATAAATTGAACTTGGTGGGTTGCAAGAGGCGGGACATAAAGTTGGAAAGGGGTGAATCGGTATGGGTGAATCTGGGAGGAATGGATCTAGGGGAGTTAGGAAGGAATGGAAGGTGAATATTCTCAGAAAAATAAGGAATTCTCAAAAGTATATTAAAAATCAGATAAAGTATGCATATTTTTTCAAAATATTTATGACACATAAAAGACAATTACAAGCATAGGCTCAGTTACAAGAAAAATATAGAGAATTTGAATTGTTTGAACCTAATGCCTAAGAAAATGAGCGTTCTCATTTTAAATGGCATGCACATGAATGGCATAGGGTGAGCCTAGTCTATATAAACCTGGTTCTTCTTGAGTTGTCTCTGGGTACCCAAATGGCAAGATTAGAAGATGGCTCCATCACAGTCAAGGACCTGGATGGTTCATCATTTCAGGATTTTTGCCCACTTTTCTCTCAGGTTATGGCTTTCAAAAACTTTGAATTTTAAGTGTTCTGTGCAGATTCTGGGGAATTCTTTTATTAGACTTCTCTTCCACAAGCATTTCCCCCCCCCTGTCTGTAGCTTGTCCTCATTCGCTTTGCAGATGAGAAGCTTTGACTGGAGGTTCCGTTTATTGCATTTTCTGTCTTCAATAATGTCTTTGTTTTTATATCTATATAAAGAGCCATTATCATACTTAAGGTCATACAGACTTCTTATGGGTAACCTGCTGAGATTAACTTGACATTTTACATTAAGAAATAGGACTCATTTTCAATGTTTGTAGGGTATAAAACTGTGTTGTATGTAGTTAATTCTAGAGTGGGATATCCATTTATTCTCATGTCATTTGTTGGCCATATTTCCTCTCTTGTGCTCTATCACCTTTACTTACATGTCAAAGGTAAGGAGACAGTGCTGTGGGTCTGCCTCTTTGCTCTAGATTTTTTTCCACTGATCTGTTTTTGTATTTTGTAGCTGGTAGCGCATTGTCTTGTTAAAGGTTTATAATAATGATTATTTATTTAGTATAGCCAAACTTTCTTGTCCTTTAACATTGTGTTGGTTTTTCTGGGTTCAAGGAAACTTGAGAATTTATTTATGATACTTGTTGGTATTCTAAGTGAAATTTCATTGAGTCTATAAGAAATGTTTCTATTTCATAGACTCATATTATCAGAATGTCAACTTCACTCTATCGTTTCAACAAAATTTCACTTAGAATACCAACAAGTAAACTGGCATCCTGATGATATTGAGTCTATCTACGAAACAGAAACAGCTCTTATTCAGTCTTTGATGTCAGTCATCAGAAATGAGTAGTTTTCATCACACAGATCTCAAGCCTATTTTGTCAGGTTTATACATAACTACTCCTTTTCACTACATGTAAATATATAGTGTTTGGTTTCTAATTCAAATTCCTCCTTATTGTTGCTGGAATACAGTAATATGATAAACCTAGTTTCATCTCATCCCTGTGGTCTGCGATCCATGCAGTGACTCAGTAATTCTCAGAGCTATTTTGTTAATTTTTATAGATCGTCTACATGGATGAGCATGTCAACTGCATGGCTTCATTTCTTCCTTGCAAATGCTGGACATCTTTTCTTATCTTTTGTTTTGAAGAGTGATTTTTCCATTTTAGGTTTGAGTGTTTTGCCTAAATATATGTATGTATTCTATTTGCATGCAGTGCCCATGGAGGCCAGAAAAGAGCATTGGAAACCTTGGACCCGGAGTTACAGCTGCTTGAGAGCTGCCACGTGGGAGCTGGAAATTGAGCTCAGGTCCTCTGTTAGAGAAGCAAATGCTCTTATCTGCCAGGTCAGCTCTCCAGTTCCGTGTGTGTATATTTCTGTTTTTTAACTGTGGGATACTTTACAGAATTGTGCCATCCTTACAGAAGGACCACACTAACCTCTGTATTATCCTCCCACTTTTAGAACTCCTTTCACAGTATAAAGATGAGTAAGTGGAGCCATTCACATGCTGGGTTTTTTGTTTTCAGTCTCAGCAGGAAGGCATCTACCTTCTCATTACTGTGTGTCAAGTTTACTATGAAGTTTTTTTAGAACGTGTTGCGCTCTGCCACACGCTTTCATTTCACTTGTTCAAACATTGCTATGTCTTGGGTGGGGATTTGCATGCCAAACGTAAGCTGAAATTTGGTTAGTGCTATAGCAGAGCTTGGATATGAACCATCAAGGGAGAGTTGGGTCCTTATCAAAACAACTCATTAGTTTTCAGAGAAATGAGAGAATGGAGCACTGAAAAGTGCCTGGTCCCGTAAGTCCTCTCCCTTCTCTCAACAGGCAACTTCTTGAAGATGCCAGG